CTTTCAAATATATATTATGGGCTTAAAATTGTCAGTTTAAGTAACGTAGGTGTTCAGTGATGCTGATACAGGAAAGAAGTATGCAGAAACAAGACAGAACCCTGACTATGTTTCTTTAACAGTAGCAGTTCATGTACTACGCAGTGGAAGAGAAACAACAGACCAATTGTGTTTCTCTGTCGGCTCTCCTAAAACCAAATGTTTATCAGTTACTGGTCTGAAGACATTGGTTTTTCTAGTGCTCAATTCTACTTATGCTCTGGTTATGCCTTCCTACCTGCGTTGTGTTGTCCAGTTAACAAAAGGGAGAATATGTCAAGAATTGCAAATATTTATCATTATCATCATCATAAATCAAATACACCATAAGATTTGCCTTTGTGTTTAAAGGAATCAGCTTTTTTATTGACTGTCGTCCATAATTAATAGCATTTTACTCTGTAAATCAAATTAGCCCAGTTTTTCTATAAAGGTTTAGCGTGAGATCATTTTTAAAAACACTAAATGACCTTGACAAAAATGAGGGATCAATAATGTTTTTATTAGCAGTCTATTTGCTGTAATATTGGATGTTTCCCTTGTCGTTAGCTTTTCCTGTTGCAATTCTAGTAGAGGTTGAAGGTCATGGCTATATCCTGGTAATATTGTTTTCTATAAACAGTTGATCCTACTCTCTCTGTAACACTGATGGATGCACTTAGCCATTTGTATAGATTTTCCTAATGTGTCTTTTAATCTACATGTTTTTGGGTTAACAGTTATCTTGTGAGAGCGTTCATCAACTTTGTTTTCAGAAATAATTTATTATTTTCCTTAGAAAGACAGCATGTGAAACTGAGATCAGAATCTATCTCAGTTTTTCCCCTATTTGCTAATTTTAAAAGTGGCCAAAAAAGAAAGGTGATCCAGCCGTTAGGGCACAAGCTTGTTTCTATCCCAAATTGGAATGAAAATATCAAAACTTTGCATTAAACAAAATATATTTCAATTTGGAACAGTTTGACTTTTTATTCCAAACTAAATGTTTGAACTTTCCTGAATTTTCATTTTGGTTTAGTTCAATATTAAACTGCATCTATTTGAGCTGCATGCTGGAAGTTATAGTTTGAGTATCTCAAACCTACCCAGATTACATCTCCCATACTGCACTATGGTCATGGAACTCTTATGATTCATTGCATAGGCTCAGCCAGAAGTGAGACCATTCTAGCAGCATCAACAAAAGGTTGCAGAGTTTGGGAACATACTGTCTTTTCCATAAGCTAAGCACCAGTCATGCCCAATCCAGTAAGCAATACAAAGGGGAAGAGAGATATCTCTGACTGGAATTGACTATACCTCTCTGGGAGTCCCTCACACTAGGAGAAATCTGGTTACATTTGCTCTTAAGACTTGTCCCTTATGCATCATATTATATTGCTCCTATTTAATGAGTGTTGTCATTGGTTTTGATAATAGTTGGGCCTTATACCACATAGTGCTGTTCAATTGTAGATCTCAAAACACTTTATAGAACTGAGTATTTGTCCTCATTTGATGGATTGTGAAATAAGATAGAGTATGTCTACACTACCACCTGCTGGCTGCCGCCATTTTTAAATGTCCGCTAGTGCGGACTCCGTGCCCGCGGTCTAGGCTTCAGATACTAGGCTTCTGAACGAGGCATACAGATAGTTCGGAATAGGAAGCCTAGTCCGAACTATCTAGTTCGTGCCGCGTGTAGCCGCGGGCACGGAGTCCGCACTTGCGGACATTTAAAAATGACGGCGCCCGGCAACATGCAAATGAAGCCCGGGAAATTCAAATCCCGGGCTTCATTTGTAAGTTCGTATGACTACATTAACCACCCTAGTTCGAACTAGCGTGGTAGCGTAGACATACCCATACAGAGCAATTAGGGGTCTTTTTTTTTCTAATGTAGGTGCCTTAAGATTTGCTTTTCAGAGATTCTGAGGCTCCCAGCGCTCTACAAATAATCTAGTAGCATCTTAAAGACTAACAAATAGTCTAGTCTAGTCAGATGAAGAAATGGGCTGTGCCCACGAAAGCTCATGATCCCATCAACATGTTTTGTTAGTCTTTAAGATGCTACTAGATTTTTTGTTGTTTTTTAGGTTTTTCCTGTTACAGACTAACTCAGCTACCCATCTGAAGCTTTTCATTTTACTACATTATTCATCTGTTTATGACTTAATAAGTCAGACTACTTATTTAGGTAGTTAACATTAGGTATCCATCTTAAACAAACTTCACCTGTGTTGTTTGCCAAGGTCATAGTATCAGACAGGTGGGAAAGTACTGGGGTCTAGATGGAGCACTTTGCCATGGGCCAAGGTACACAAGGAGCAGATAAGTTAAATTACAACAAACTATTTTTAGAGAGTTCTTTGTCTTGCCATAACTGCTTCTTAAAATAACCAATTGATTTTTTTAAAACTTGTGCTCTCGGGCTAAGACCAAAATGCAATCACAAACATATGCATTATAAAAAGAGTACTTCTAAAATCAGACATTCAGAAGAGCTACAGTTATTTTATTAGGGGTGAAATCCTGGAGCCATTGAAATCAAGGAGAGTTTTGACATTGACTTCAGTGGTGTCGGATTTCATCCTAAAAGCCCAGATGAAAAACATTTTACAAATCTTATTTCTAGTTATCAAACTAAAAATAAACCATGTCTTGTTGTGTGCTTTTTTATTCCCTGTACATGAGTGTAATCCACCAATGTAACATAAAAATTAAAAAAAAATGAAGTACACTAAGGACATAATTGATTACAAACACTTTTCTATAGATCTTAGTTTCGTTTTCACATGTTAATGTTTTGATGTAACAGGAAATTAAAAATATATTGATTTGAAGTGTTATAGAATACCATACCAAAGCTCTGAACTTTGTTTTGTGATATGTTTTCTGCATCCAAGTTCTTATGAACTTGCAAAAACACCTGCTAAGGAAATCAGTGGCATGCAGCAACTGAAATTTATGTATTCACAATAATAATTAATATAGTGCCTTATGTGTGCATATCACTGTACAGATATTAAATATCTAATCTTCACAATGCTATTCAACATTTCTATCAGTGATCTGGAAAAGGATATAAAATTACTGCTGGTATAATGATCGTATTACATTCAAATTAGCTGAGCGGTAAGTAACAGTAATGCCAGGTCTGTTCTACAGAGCAATATGGATCACATGGCAAGTGAGCTCGCTTGTACTGCATGTACTTTAATGCGGTGGAATACAAGGCCATACAGCTAAACTCCAAGAAAGTTCACACTTATGGAATAGGGGACCATATTTTGGAATGCATTGACTCAGAAAAGGACTTAGAGATCAAGGTAGATAACCACCTGAACATGAGCTCCCCATATGAGTTTGTCTGAAGAGAGCAAATGTGATCTTTGGATATGTATGCATGGGAATAATGAATAGAAATAAGAAGATATTGTTATTAATGACACCAACAAATGAGAAAAAAGGATGCTGGCAAACTGGAAAGGGTTCAGAAAATAGCTACAAGACTGATTTGAAGTCTCGAAAAACAGCTGTTGGGCAAGAGACTAAAGAAGCTCAGTCTATTTACCTGACCAAAGAGAAGGTGTAGATGTGACTTGATCACATTCTGTAAGTATCTATAGGGGAAGAACATTTCTGATAGCAAAGGGCTTTTTAATTTGGCAGACAAGGGCAGACTCAAATCTTTGGGCTGCAAGCAGAAGCTAGAGAAATTCTGTTTAGAAATAAGAAGCAACTTTTGAACTGTGAGCATAATTAACCATTGGAACAACTTTTTTCCCATTGCCCTTCTCAGGACTGTCCCCCTACAAACATTCAGCACCACAATCCAGCACACAGTGTTCCCTAGCCACAGTCCCACTAGCAAACCAAAACCAGTACTGTACCATAAATCCCACACACCTCTGGATATAGTGGGGTGAAATTGTAACTATTTTATGTTTTTCTGGCAAAAAATTGGTTCAGGAAGTTGAAATACTACTGTACAGTGTTACATAAAGTTAGTGTAGTCTCTTGTCCATACCCTAAAGTGGCTCTGATTTTCACCTAAAATATTTAACCTACCTATGCATTTCACAAAGCCCCATTCACTGCAGGGAGAGGCTATGTTACATTACAAATTAAGACTACTGACTCTAGACCTAGAAGTTATATATATGGTGCTTTGCTCAGCACAGGAAGATCTAAGCGACTTAGACAGCTATGTCCCATGCGCTTAGGAACCTAAGCCTTATTGGCGATCAGTGTGATGTAGGTTCTTAAAGACTAGATTCACAAAGACATTTAGATGCCTGAATTTAAATTTAGGTCCTCAAGATCTCAGCTCTATTGATGCGTAATCTTGTAGGCCTCTAAAGTCATAGGTGCCTAGGTTTCCACCAGTAATGTCTGCCAGTTAGCATGCACAAAGCTGACCTAATCTGTCACCTCCAAGCTGCTAAGTGCCTAATTCATTCCTAAGCCCTGGTTGGATCCTCCAATTAGACATTCCCCTCCCTATCTTGCCTACAGAGCTCAGTCCAGTACATGTTCTCAAAGGCCACCTTAGAGCATGCCTATCAGCTTCACAAAATATGAAGAAACAGTGGTGGGGTACACCCTTTATACCATATAGCTTGGTGGATGCTCAGTTTGGGAGAATAATTCTCCAATCTTTATTGCTGTTGACCCTCCCTTTGTATCTGAGAGCTAAGTTGTTTATTGTCTACATACAGTGGGGATCCATTCAGGCAGTTTTCAAAGAAGACACAATGGTTATTTACCATCATAACTTTTGTTTTTCAAAAGGATTGCCTGGTTGGAGCAGCTCTCTTGCCTCTCTTCCCAACTCATTCAGAATCTTACTATTTATTCTTGATTTACAGGAAGTACTGGGGTGGTGGTTGGGGCTGGGTGTGAGAAAACAAAGTGCATTCACATCCCTAGCAAATATTGTTATTCAAATACTCCAAATTCATCTACCCCAGGAGTGTTGACTCTTACAGCATGCATCCATGCAGGCAATCCTCCCACAGAACCCACAGTAGCCATGGTAAGTAGCTATTCTTTTCTTAATGGTCACTTCTGAAAGTAGTGCAGCTTAGTTACTGGGTACTGGATCCTTTTTAATATTCAGAGAAAAGGAAAACTATTAACAGTAAAAATGCTGTGTGGTTTTGTCATATTGTGATGGACTATTTTTTAATCAAAGAAAATGTATGTGCCCAACAAAAGGGAGTACTCAGAGTACTCAGTGTCATGGACTATAACTATCTCTGATTTAAAAAAAACTAAAAAACCCAACAACATAGCAAAGAATGTGCTAACTCAGAGCAAAACCTGTAATACTTCAGAACGTCTTGCCATATGCAAGCTTTTTGCTCACTACTTGTCGGGAGGAGGGGAAATCATTTGGTCCAGCAAACATCTGGTAGCTCAGGAATGGGGGGAAAAAGTACTGATTGGTTCTGACAGCTGTCTGCTTCACAGCAGTATTTAACCAGAAATATTTGAAATGGATTTGTATGAATAATAAAAGATTGTGTGGTGTAAGCCTGAAATAAACTGTACCACAATTTAACTCATTAACAAAAATATTGTTTTCTATCTAGAAATTGGGAGTTAACTCCCTTACTTACTATGTTTACTCTACTTTGTATATTTTGTTTTTTAACCATCTGATAACTCGTAGGATTTTTATGATAATTTTTCCTGCAATGTATTGTAACTGTTCACTGTGAAATAGGTTGAATGGGATGTCATCATCCTTTAACTTTAACAAGTACTGCTGATGGATGTGGTCCATTTAAATGTACAACAGAGAGCTGAACTAGATAACGAACTTATTATTACTCTCTAAGGATTATAGTTTAGTCCCAAAGGAGTGCAGTAAGCCAGAGAAAATCCATATCTACTGGCTAAACAATAGCCAGAAGGCTGACTGGAGATATTGATTTACTTTCTAGGCCATTTAGACCTTAATGGTGGAGAAAAGCTGAAGTGCTGTTTACTTTTCTGCCAGAATCGACCAAACAACCAGTCCATTTTTTTACAGACTTTGATTGATTTCGCTTAGAGGAATTAGAGGTGATTTATTTTTAAGATGAAAGCAACTCGTAAATATTGCCAAGTACACAGGTTCCCTGAGAGTAAATGTTAAGTGGAAATACTTATTGAGAAATACTTTGTTGCAAATCAATATGAGCAGGTGAAACACCTCACTAGGAACAGTCAGGTGTCAGACCCCTTTCCAAAGAATGATCAAGACGCTAATTGCTTTACTTGAGAGACATGTTTTTCAAAAGTCTCTAAGTTTTGAAGACTAGTATAAACCTGATTGTCTAGCAGACTTTGAACCAACTGCACCCTGCTGACTGAGAAAAGGCCTTGGATAGGATAGCAGAAAATGTTTTCAATGCTAGCATTGAGGAACTGTAATGTCTGATGGATGAAAAGAGTAATTTATCAGAAAAGTGACAATTGTCCATGATCATTCAGACTCACATTCAGAAAATATATAACTCTAAGAAAGGAACAATTCAGACAAAAATGGGATGGGATGAGGACCCAAACATTTACATAGACAAACTTTTAAAACTTCCCTCTGAGCAGAAATCTGTGAGTACAAAGTTTGTGAAAGCACTGGGCACTCTTAAAAAGAAAAAAAGAGAGGTCATTGCTGCAAGTGCTGGATAAGCTCAAGAGAACCTGGCTGGCAAGAGAATCAGCTTTATTTAAAAACTGCCAAGTTTATTGAGCTTGTGACTATAAAGGGTATGTAACTTAAGTCAGTGTAAGAAAAAAAGTTCTTCAAAGTGTTGTTATGGAACTTGCAATGAATGTCAATACACACAAACACAAAACTATTTATATGTTACACACACACACACACACACACACACACACACACACACACACACCACACACCCTGCAATTTCTACTTAGGAGAGTTTATAGGAAGCAATTACACCTGCAGTCCATTAAATACTTTCTCTTTTCCCAAGAAGCATGTAATATTGCTGTTTTACTGGAAGTGCCTTTGGTTGGTACTTTTCTCACTCAGTTTTTACTTTAACTTCTTTAAATCACCTTTGCTAATGTGATTGCTGTCTCTTATTTGCATGACTGCTATATCACAAGAGTTTCACTTACCTGATGTCTATAATTGTCATTAGCCATTTCTGAGACATAAACGTAAGAACATGTAAATTATTACTCTTTTAAGCTAAGAATTACAGCTGAAATCCTGATCTGCATCTGATCTGTTTTTAGTTACATTTCCCCTACTACACTTACACACTCTCATACACTTCACTTGCTGATCCTGGGCCTGTTCGTTTGATGGGCCAATGCTTAACATAACCTTTAGAGCCGTATTTGCCAACTGGAGATAGCTGGAGCATAAAGGTGCTCCACCAATATTCCTTTTCCATGACCATGCCCCCAAACATCAAGGAACTGCCTGTGTGTGGTCTAGAAGTCATTGGAGTAGTTTTATTTAAGGAGAATCCTCTAATGGTCAGCTCTACTTAGCTTACAATAACTTTGAAGCCATGGACTGGTGTAAACCACCCACAAAGAAGCTAAGAACCTGGGTGTGCATTTTAACCTGTTCATCAACCAATTCAGCATTAAAACCTAATGGTGGAAAACCAAAATGTCCACACTTCCTTTTATAGGATCTGTTGGGAAGCACTTGATGTCTTTTCTAAGCACCATACTGAGAAATACTTACTTTGGGATTCATTTTATTCTCTACATATTGTTGTGAAAATTCTAAAACCCCCTATGATTCTTTAGTGCTGCTTTAGTTTTGTTGTTGCTTTAGTTTTGTTGTTGCTTTCTCTGCTTTTAAAAGTTTAAAAAAAAACCCACCAGTTCCCTTCTCACAAAACAATTACAATAATGCACACACTTGAACACCTTAAAGCAGAGGCATAAACTTCCTACAATTATTTCAAAAGTTTATGGGGAAAGAAACATCCTAGAGAGCTATTTTAGAGGCTCAGATAATATATCCTTATTTCCTTTTGAGCTTTGACTTTTTGAAAGAAAGCCAAATCTTTAAGCTTGCAATTAAATTCTAGGAGCTTTGTACTGCTATTCTTTCCAGTGGGACAGTTTGCTGAGGTAATTTATGTACTGATCATTTATACTTTCTTTCTTATCTGCTACTGTGTACTAAGAACCATGCATGTATGTTAGCAACTGCAGCAGTTCTGATGCTTTCCTGTGGTGAGTAGGGTTTGTCTACACAGGAAGGTTGTGCCAATTCTACTTAATATATTTATTTAAAATATAGATAAACGGGTGCAAAAGACTGTGTGGATTTGCTCTAATTTTGGTTTGAATAGTTTATGTTGGTTTAGGTTAAGTTAATTGGGAAAATGATTAACTGAACCAAACAAGTCATTCTTATACTGAAATCAGGCTCTGATCCTGCACACTTAAGCATGTGCTTACTCTTGTGTAGTACCATAGTTCCATTGATTTCAGTATCGGTGCTTAAGTGTGTCTTTTGTATTGCTTTAATTATTTTGGTTTGAAAGCCAGTTCAAGTTAAACCAGTAGACATACATTTCATATAAAGGAGCCCTAACGCTCATCAAATGGTAAGAATTAAAAGGCAATTATGGCCCCATTGCCAAATGCATGAGGTTTTTTTTTTATCAAGTTTAACTCCCAAATTAAAACTGGATTCAGGGCTGAGTGTGAGGCAGCCCATTTTCCTTTTGTCTTGGGGGCTTAAAAAGAGAGACTCACAGCAAGTAAATATGAGGTTCAAAGACATTTAAATCCTTTTCTGCAAGTGAAGTTCATTACGAAAGAAAACAACAGCTGGTATCACAGAGCTGTGATACATTTTAAAAAGCAGGGGTGAAGTAATGATTAGAAATGTGATATGGAGTTATAGTAAAAGAAGTAAAACCACAGAGGCACTGAAGAAGACAAATATAATTTAGGTAGAAGCACAGGTCTAATTACTAGGCTTGCTTGATAACTTAGAATTATCTTTCACAAAGGATGGTTCTTCACTAGTACTCTGGCTGCAAAAAGAGTCCCATTAGGCACTGAAACTACATTTACCACTACTTTAGTGTATGATTACCTAAAAGTTAGAAATATAGATGCCTTCTAAAAACTGATATTTGTTTATATGCTTGTGGGAAAGTACTGAAAAATTCAGTAGAATATAGAATTGTTTACCAGCCAATAGAATTCTGTAGCAGGGATGTAGTTCCCAATTACATTGTGTAAGGTGGTATAAGACTTCTATGACAAAAAGATAGCTGTGCAATTTATAGAGGGTTATTTTTAGTAATTTCTATTGAACTGTAACAGAGTCCTGGTCTTCGGGGAGCGTATGCCCCAATGATCCTGTTATGGCCTTTTAAAACTGGAGGCCCTAGTTTCACATCATATGTTTACTCTTAGTACTATGCCCCACAGGAAATCATTCACAAGCCTGCCTGGCTTTTAGGCAAAAGGTCAGATACACGAGACCCAAGCTTGGGGATGACCTGACAGAGAGCTCTTGCACCAGATAGGCAGGAAGCTTCAGAGGAAGATGCTTGGAGGGAAAAGAAGCTAGCTGGGGGTGGGAGGCTGAGAAGTTCCAGGGACAAGAACTAAGGGTACGTCTACACTACAGCATTATTTCAAAATATCTTAATTTAAAAAAGTTAAGTTGAAAGAAGATATTTCAAAATAACGTGTCTACATATAAAATGCAGTTCGAAATAGCATTTTGCTATTTTGAAATACTACGTCCACACTGAGTGGACACTGATTAACATAAGGCTGCCCAGAACCAGGTCAGGCAGGGCATCAGGTCAGGACTTACTGTATGCTATCTGAGGCCTGTGCTTAAAGGGATACCCCTACCCCCTCCCCTCCGCCCTGGGGCAGCCAGTTCTCAGGTGTCCCTGCTTGCTTGCCTACCTCGATGAGGGACAGCAAAGCGTTTGTGTCTGAGTGCTCTGGTTGCCCTCACTTGGGACACCATAGCACTCTGCAACATGGAGCCAGAACTGCCCCTGCGCACTCTGGTGC